CCCTTTCTGCCCCAGTGCACACCACATATTAAAAAATAAATGTTTTGAAAATAATTCATAATCTTTACTTAATAATGTGATAAGTGTCTAAATTGTCTAAAATATTAAACAAACCATCAATTATACATCTAATGGGGTTATAGCCCATATATAATTATGTTCTAATATGATTGATGCTCCGCAGGTATGAAGGAGTTCACACGAGGGACCGAGAATCTTACCATTACTTTATTTACAGTCTGGCAAAAGAAACCATTGCTTTGTTGAGAAATCCTAACAAGCTGAAAATGTGTTATTAAAAATTAACATACTAATTGAAGCTCCATAAAAACAGGGGTTGACAGACACCTCAGTGCTTAATTAACGGAGATTAAGACCTTGGCGACTCGTGGAAAAGTCTGCTTCCCTTCTTCATGATGTGTGCGCGGCATCCTTCAAGATGAATGGCGACTACTTGTTGTGTCCCACGACTAAAGTGACACAAACCAGCTGAGGCGGACAGAAGGTGTACGAAAAAAAAGGCTTGTGGCTGTTCACGTGACGAACCGAGAACAGAACGAGTGAGTGTCACAACAGCGTGAACCCGGAGGAAGTTAAGGCAGCGGCAGACAGATCAGTGGCTTTTCTCCCCCGTGGCAGATTACACAGAATACACACAATGAGAGACAGGAATATGGCAGAGGCTCACTTTTTTCTCCCCTAATTATCAGACGCCATATTGCCTACCTTCACGAACAGAGGAGGTAATTTTGTTTCGGAGTCCTTTTGGGAAATTAATTCATTTTACTAAAGTGACTTGGTAATTACAGTGACATCAAGGTTAATTGCCAAATCTGTATTGCTTTGGTGCCGTCAACGTCAAAGAAATCTGTTCTCTAAACACACCAGCAGACAACAGACCACACACACACACAGATCACCACAAACACACACACACACACACCCACACACACACACACACACACACAGACAGATCACCACACATACCCCATTTGGGTTTTGACTGAACAAAAGCCTGAAGATGTGCGTACGTGCAAGGACACACACACGATGTTGTGAAGGCTTTAAAGATGCTAGTGCTTCTTAACAACAAAGCAAAAGCTCAAAAGACTGAATACAACAGAGTTAGAAAGCAAGAAACTAATTTTTAGACTTAAAGAAACCCTATTATGCTTTTTGTGGTCTTCCATTTCCTGCAGTGTGTTACACAGGGTTTTTCTCTCACATCATCACTATGTAACACTCGGTTTCTATTGGCACTCCAAAAACATTGTACCTGATAAGATAAGGGACGGGACATCCCTAAGCGGTTGACCAATCACAACAGAGCCGGCCAGCTAGCCAATCAGAGCAGACTGGCCTCTGGTTTCAGACAGAGGGTGAAAAGTATGAGAAAAATAAAGAGCTTTTTGAACATTAAAGCATGGAGACATGTCACATTAGAAGCACAAAATACTAATATGAAGCAAAACATTTGAGTAATACGGCCCCTTTAAATATAAAAATGGTGGGCCACATGACAAAAAACAATCATTCCAGTAATGAACCTCTTTTATCAGACGATGACAATCCGTTCTTTCTCTGTAGATGATCCTCGTCCACAGCTCACCGAGGTTTGCCATAAATTCACCCAGAAAAGTTTATTAACAAAAACAAGGCAAAGTCATCAGGGTGAAACCTTGGTAATCAGTATAGCGAAATAGAACTCATTTGTTCTCCGGGGAGCAAATGAAACAATAAAAGACATCGCCCTCATTAACGCATCAGAGTAAGATGCCAACTGCATTTGTTATGAAATATGTTTATTGAAAGTTGTGTTAAAAAAAAAAAACCAACTACATCATGCTCCACAAATAATAACTGCTGATTTGCAATCTCGCTTCGTACCCTTTTATCCTTGAATAATTTGAATTGAATTAGTTTGCCTAATGTTGGTGTCCCTGTGCTGCTGCACCCTAATCAACGTACACTTTGATGTCTTCTTTAATGTGCGTAAGGTTTTTGAATGTGTGTCTTTTTTTCTGTAGAGCTAATAGGGCAGTTTCCTCTAGACAATACTGCCAGTTCTGACATCGGCGAATAAATAAAGGCAGCAACAAAAGCACAAACAAACTTGAAGAAGGAACCTTCACCAGCCAGTCAAGTTAAATCCGTGTTCGTACAAAATGTCATCATTTTATCATTTAATTATATTTGACATTTGTGTAAAATAGTCATAATTAGAGGGTATATGAAGATGCAGTGGCTGCTAGCTCTCGTCAACTTTTCTCCAATTTTGGTATTGATTGTTGTTTTTCGTCTTATTTTCTTACAGGAGAACGTATGGCATATGATAAATACTATCTTTTTTTGAAGGTCAAAGCTGATGGATAATGTTTACTTATAGTAAGTGTTCAACTTTCCTGTAGAGTGTTATATAGGTTTTTGTGCAGGTAAATTATTACTTTCGTAACATAATGCCATCACTCTGTAACACTTGCACTTCTTTTGGCTAGCGCTCCAACACATTGTACGTGATAGGCTATGGGGCGGGACATCTCTAAGGGGTTGACCAATCACAACAGAGCCAGCCAGCCAACCAATCAGAGCAGACTGGGCTCTGGTTTCAGACAGAGGGTGAAAAGAGGTGCTGCAGCACAGGCAGTATGAGACAAATAAAGAGCTTTTTGAAAATTAAAGCCTAATTATCTGCCCAGAGAATTAATAATTGTTCCTGCTTCAAACTCAAATAATTAACTTAATCAATACTAGTACGGTTTTTTCTAAGTAGCATTATTTCATTTCATTTCATTTGTATTTGTCCCGCTCATGGTACGCAAAACCAAATGTACAATAATTGCCAACAAAACATGACTCTACCAAAACACCATTGAGCGAAAAGGAGAAGGGAGAAGAATAAAATCTTATGTGCCCCTTTCTTAAAAAAAACAAAATAAATACAAATAGATTGTCTGCCCTTCATAATCATTTGTTTTCACAGCCAAACATAACAGTATCTTAGGATACTAATAGAAACACACAAAAAATACTTATTTCCCACTTGACGGTTAACGGAAATAAACAAAACAACAAAAACCAACACCAAAACATCACATGTATAAGGAAAAGAAAAGTGCAACACCCTCATGTGAGTCCATTATGGTCTTAACAACAACTTAAATCTGTGACAATAAAAAAGTCAATTTCTTTCTCCGGTGCATCACAGGCACTTTTTTATGTCTGGCCAGACTTTTATATATTAGAACTTGTCCAAAGCATCAAATATAATTAAAGGTAATTTAGCAATCCTTGACAACTTCACATTGTGTACTGCTCATGTCACAACCTTTTAGAGTTGTTTAGGACTCTAGCAGAGTACAGGAAGAGTGCAAATCAATAACTGATTTTGCATTGCATAACTGCATTTAATAGAGGCGCAGTGAATCCAAAAATAAAGAAAATGTCATCGGTCCCATGCTACTGCGGATCATGTTTGTGCATACTCCTTTCTTCTGAACAACAGGTGCTGCATCAGCCAGACAGGATGTTCCTGGATGTTGAGGAAATCCCTTAGGCCTTAAGCTTCCGTGGCGCAGCTGCCGACAAGCAGACATACAAAAGCATCTATTGACCAGACAATGATACACTACATTCCACTGTCAACTTGCAAAAAAGGAAAGAAAAAAGTCAGCAGTGCTTTCAAATATAGACGAAACCATTAAAGAGAGTAGGTACCGCTTACTATTATTTTGATGTACAAAATGATTGAGCTTTTAGGCTTTATGTCCAACACTGAAAATTGCACCAAATGCATTTAAGAATAGAGATATAGTCATTGACAGACCTGCCATAGACATATCAATTATAGAGGTTTATATGTGATGATATTGGTGTACCCTCTGAAAATGTCTGAATCTAACGGTATATGTGTCTTGTCTCGTTTTGAATTGACTGAGTTGTGACTTCCAAGGAAAAAAAGCTCTTTGTAGCTCTCATAGCAGCTAATATGAAATCTCCGTTTTTGACAAAAATGGAATGATGGATTATCAGTAATCGTTTCAAAGTGACACAGACACATTGGATTAACCTTCAGCAGCGTTTTTATCGTTTTAATGCCATTGAACACAACTTTTGATCAGAAAAACAGCAAAGGTAAGACATATTTGCCGTTTTGGCTCCGTAAAGCTACGTTGTGTCTTGCCCGGGTTTGCCTTCGCTGCCCTGAGTTTTGGTCGCACAGTGATGATACTTATACCTCTAGAATCTGTGGAATCTCAGCTTTGATGTGATATCTTGTTTGAGCAGATCCGATAAGTAATAAAGTATTTCTACAGTGGGTTCTCTGCTAAGTGCGTTAGCATTTTTTCGCTCAGGGCTAATTCAGAGGCTTGGTATTACCCTTGTGTTTCGTTTAGCTAAAAATGGTTTGTATCGTCAGTTACTGAGTTTCTTCCCGTTAAGTGGGTATCACACATTAATAGGTTGTTAAATGTTAAGAAGCCCTGAGACACAGTTTCGCTTAACAGGTTAAAAGAACAAACTACTTTTCTACGAGAAAGTATCTTGAACACCTCTTTAAGAAAAAAACAATGGCTTCTTTACATTTCTCGTGATCAAGAAGTTCAACATTGGTGATTGGTACCACTATCAAATAATAACTCAAATGTAAGACCTTTTATTTGTGAACATGTTCATTTTTCTTCTATCCTTGGTTTAATCATGTCTGAAACTTTTGTTCCTTGTATTAAGATACTTTATTAAATAACAAATATTGATAATGGCAATGCGTCATCGGGGTACAGCAGAATTAATTTGGTGATCATTTATCAAACTGAATTGCTTCTATGTATTGTTTAGCACTTAACACAATTATATTTTATACAAGCAAAGCGTGCATATTAAAATATGGATACATAGCCAGAATTATTCCGGCAGTAAAGATGATGTATTGTTGTTGTGTTGATTTTTTTTCCCACCTCACAGATCCATATTGTATCCAGTTATCATGTCTCCTAAATAAATAATCACGGTGCGTAAAAGGCTTAACCTGGGAGTTCACAGCACTTGTGCAGCTCTTAACCAATCAGAGAGCAACTGGCAAGGCCAGTTGCTCCTTGATCAATGATGGCTTTGGATTTGCTCGTTAGGCCCAGATGTGAAGCCTAATTTGGCTCACCAGTCTCAATTGCTGTTGTATAAAAACACACAAGCACACATGCACACATGCACACAACCCCTCGCTAACCCCTCCCTCCAGACAACCTGAGCTTCCTGAGTGATCAATGTCTCTGTCATCCAGGCCTGTGTCCGGGGCACCAGGCGGGGGGGGATGGGGGGGGCGCGGAGCCTCTGCGGCCAGTCTCGGGGTGACATTAGCGGACACAGGGTGAGTGATGTCAGCCCACAACTCCCCGGGGGGGCGGTAGAGGCAAAGGATCGGGCTCGGCCAAAAGCAGCGGGCTCGGAGAAAGGTCACTGCTCAGCCTGATGTGATTAATAAGACAAGAAGCTGAGTGTCCCCGATGCCATTATCAATATCCGTGGCCACAAGCTCCCCTAGATGCATATGCAGTAGGAGTCGTACACAAGGGTAAAAAACTATTATTTGCGAAGTTAAGTCTTATTATCGTGCGTCGGTTTGGTCACATTTGCTCGGTGATGCGAGAGGTCAGCTATCAATTAGATCATATTTATTCACAACAGCAGCTCTGACTCAACCTGATTCTGGTAATGACTCACGGAGAACGGATCCGAGAGGTGAAAGTCTGGGACTCAAATGTCAGCACAGCCTCGGCGACAAACATGACATTTAAACAGACATCTGTTTCGCTGTTCTGTTTCCCCGCCAACCAAAAATATTTATCCAAACTGCAGTTGTGCCATGTAAATAAGGGTAAGAAAAAAAACTAAAATCCCCACTTGTATTAGAGAAGACTGCAAGCCATTGAAATAGTTCTGAATTCTTATTTTCTTGCACTTTGCTGCAACTCCCCTAGCTCGGGCAAAGTTGAAACTGATTTTCGAATTAAAGCAAAAATAAATCCAAAAGAAAGTTTACTAAGACCGCAGCAAGTTCACTCCTATCCATCCTTTCCTGCTCTCCAGTTAGCGTTCAGTTAAACCCATGAGCACCAAACAAGCACATCTTGCTTCCTTAAATCAATTAGCCTCTGCATGTTGAGTGTAACTAATAGCCCTGCTGAATCCCAGATTAAATATGCTCGATACAAGCCGAGTATGAAGCGAGATGGTTAAGATAATTAAGAGTGATAAATCCTTCAGAAGAGGAAGGGGGAGACAATTTGAAAGCGTGAGCGAGAAGTCAGCTGGAGAGCGACATGGGATTAGAGGCCAAAAGAAGTAAAATAATGTGTGAATGTGAGCCGGAGAGCCAGTGATGGAGCTGGAGTTGTTTTCAGCCTCGCCTCGAGCGGCCCAGATGGCGAGGGCTCGTCTTCGTCTAGCCCTCGGTGCATTTGGCAGAAGCTACTCCTCACTTCTGGCTACTGTACATCTCTCTCTGTCTCTTCTGCTCTCGTCGGAGGGACGCATTAGCGCAGGGAGTGAAACATTACCCCACATTTTCACATTCCACAAAGTCTTCTCTTTTGACACTGTGACCTCACACATATGTCTTTACATTCAGATGTACAGTGAGTACTCTGCGTTCTGCTGTTATGCAAATCCACCTTTGTATTCATAAATATGTGCATAGACTTTACTGCAGCACTGAAATACATTTATTTTTTCAATCTCTTTCTTTGTGTCTCTGGGTTAAATGTTTTGCTATTTCTTATGATATGCTGGAGGAGAAAAGTATTTTCAGTATTTATGTTAAAACGTATATATTTTTTCTTTCAACGACTCATTATAAGATTGCATGATCTTGAAAAAACAACTAATTGTGGTTCTTTTAACTGATATTTCTATTGAGAGATGATTTGTGATATTTAGTTTTTGATCAAACTTCAATGAATTGTGCAGCCCTAACTAATTCTGACGGCATACAAAGAAATGTATCTATTCATTTGAATCATAAATCTATCGATCATAAATCTATCGATTAGATTTATGATTTGAAAATTGTAAAAGTAGGGTAGACATGTGGATATTATCCGGCTGAACAAAACGTGGTCCGTCTCTTCAATTTGTGTCAACCACAGACCTTATTTCGAGCTATTTTCAAAAATCCTACGGAGAAATTGCATTGTTTTTTGTCGAAGGAACCGGAAGTGGTAAAATGCTAACTTACTTCCGGGTTTTAGGACGCGTCACTGTGGCACTCTATTGGCAGTGGCACTGATTATAGTTAAATAGGAAACATCCCCAAACAAAAAGTTCAAAATAAATGGGACAGCATTTATTATACATACAGTATAACACACTACAGAAAAGGGAACATCCCAAAAAGGCATAATAAGGCCTCTTTAAAACACTGTCTCTCTAATAAATACTAATTGCGTATGTGAACTTTCGAGGAATCTTTTAGGACAAATTTGAGGAAATTCCGGTGAAATATTTTCCGTGTTTATTGAGATTAGAACAACTTCACACATCTATTTTATTAAACAATGAATTGTCATTTTCAAACTTCCATATCAGTAAATGAAATCCTCATTCATCTGAATGTTAATCAGTGTTAATTAACGACCGTCTCAAGTATTTAATTGTCCCACCAGTAAAGAGTGGCAGGAGCAGATTTTACAGCTTCATGCACAGTTGCACTCGTTCACCAGATCCTTATGAGGGCTGTCTTTTCCACCGAGATAATAAAAACCTCTCCAGCACTCCATCACGGTGAGAGATGTCTCATATTTCCCCCTGTCAGCCCCGACAGAAGCAGGCCTCTGATTTAAAGTGGTCTGCTCGACAATGACTTTTATTAGGGAGGTAAATATTAGTGTTGGGTGGGTAAGATTCACAGCTGGGGCTCAGCGTGAGGAGACAGTATCGAGATCGTCCGGGGGATTGTAGAATTTCAGTCTCCTGTCCCCTCCCGGAGTCTGATCAATTGTTCTCATCGATAGCTTTGTTCCATTGGATTCTCGTTTTAATGAGATAACAGGAAATAAAGGATCTGACTTTTAAAACTTTCAAAAAAGAAACGGCCACAAGATTTATCCGTGAAAATGCTAAGCGATGCATAACGTTGCTGTGCTGAGGTGGACAGGCACATGTTGATTGCTCATTATTCCCACTATGGCATTATAATGGAGCCACAATGTAAACGTATGCAAGTCTCTTCTGATTTCACAGAGGGGTTCTGAGCAATATGCACTTGAAAAAAGCTCCATGGTGCTTTTGAAGCGGCGCGGCGGGATGCCAGAGTGTCTCCCTGGCTAAGCGGCACATTATATTTTATAAGACGTCTCCTCTGCTCCCGTGGGACTCCCCCGGCTCATGCCTTAGCCATCAGTTGTCAGCCAGACCAAAACAAGACTAGAAAGCAAAGTTACTGTGAACCGGAAAGGATAGAAATCGCTGGAGGCCTTCTCAAGCGCAATCCAACATGACGTGTAAGCAAAATCCTTTAGCTCCTAACAGCAGTGGAAAATGATTAACATTAATATCTAGCACCCACACCCATATTCATCACACCTTGTCACCGGCTGCCACCCAATTCTACGCCTCGATGCGTCACAGTCGTGAAGGTGAGGGGTTCTCCAAATGACATCCTTAGGAGTGAACCGCCCACTCGTTCTCCTGTCCCCTCCTCCGCAAATAAAGCACCGTTTCCCTCCATAACGGCTGCCGTGACGGCTCGGAGATAAGCCGAGATAAATATGAAGACCGGCGGTTTTGACTACATGGCTCATTGGCGTGGCAGATGACAGTTATTACATGCTGCGGGTGAAGAGGAGATATCCGTAGAAGAGAGCGGGGGAGATTTGGAAAAGGCAGATGGATGATAATGTCGGAGCAGATGTTTTTCTTCCCTTTTTTTTTGAAGGGGATGAATAAAAACATTTGCTTAATGATTTCCTGAGTACAACAAACACCAGTGATTACCACAGGAAACTATGAAAAGGGGGAAGGTGAGGGGAATTGACCATTTCTGTCATCTCGCTTGTTAAGAAGTTAAAGATTTCGAGCAGCCATGATGATGGTATTGCTATTTTTACAATATAAATCTGCAGAATAATAAAGCTTTATTTATATGGCACATTTTATAAAGCATATGCAGCTCTAAGTGCTTTACAAAATGACACATCACAAGTTAAAATTAAACAACAAGAAATTCCCCTCAGATTATTTGTTAAGAACTTTAAAAGATACAGGCAGCCAAATATAACATTTTATCAGGTTAATAGACACAAGGAGGTCAAAGGTATGATAACAAAACAAAAATAAAATAAATAATGGTTTCTCTCTGACAGATAAGACACAAGACAACTGAGTCGATCCAACAATATAAAACCCCATCAAACAAAGTGAACATATAGGTACAACAGAAAAAAAGGTTAAGACCTATAAAATAAATAAAACAATATAAAGGTAGGTAAATAATAAAGACTAAAAGAACATTTAAAGTGGGGGGTCCACTGAGTTGGCCTCTCTGATAGGGTGTTCCACATTTTGGGAGCGTAGTGGATAAAAGCGGCATCACCCATTTTATTTTGGGGGACTTTAGGGATATTTAAAAAGCCTCAGAATGTGTCGCGATATTACAGAAGGGAAAGAGCAGTGCATCTTTGAATACAAAAATGACATGAGAATGAGTTTTAGGTGCATTGTTTTCTTTTACGTAATCTAAAATGGAAAGGACACAGCCTGGGGGGGGTTTGTTAAATTACTGCAGTTGGATAAATCAATGGATACTACTGAGTTAAGAGTGTTTGACCAGACTGAAGGCTGAGGAGGGTAAGAGGGATCGGCAGCTGTGTTGAAATAAAATGACGAGCTAACACTGAACATGTAATATCCACACAATGCTTAAACGGTAAAAGCATGTTGTCAAATGTTGTTCTCTCGTAGACAATTTGGCAAAGAACAACTATAATCTTGGCATTCTGGGTAATTATTCTTAATTGGCTGCAGCTGTGGAGCCCCAATCAAGCTGCAGTGGTGTCAAATGTCACTGCTTTGACTACGATATGTGCTGAATTTAAAAAGAAATGTACGTTTATGAAAGACAATGAAAAAGTAGATGTAATAAAAATATAATTGCTATTTCTTTCGGTCTCTAATCATATAACAATCTATCTTCAGCTTGAATGTGTTTTGACACTGATGAATTCCTGCAATTTAAAGACAAAAATAAGCATTTTGGAATGCACTTATTTGCTTTCATGCTAAACGTTTGATAAGAACATTGCCAACACCCTTGTGATTGTTAGCTACAAACAAAGCAGAGCCAAGAGTCAATTAGCTAAGTTTAGCTAGCAGAGATGAAAAAGCCAGTAGAAACCGTTAAACTGGCTCTGTCTAAAAGTATATATAAATACACAAAGTGTTCGCTAATGAGCTTCAGAGGTGGAAGTAAGCTACATTGTTATACTTTTAGACAGAGCCAGACTGGCTTCTTCTCTCGTTTCCAGTCTTAGACATAGAAACAGCTAGCCAGGCCAGTAATAAGGATGTTCAAATATTCAACTATTTAAAAGCACCTTCAAATTATTCAATTAAAATGAATACTGTAATGTAAATATTGTCTATGGAGGAAAAATGTCACAGCTCTGCCAATATAAGAGACATATTAGGACAGAGACATAAAGCAAACTATCCTGAATGTTATTGATAGGGAAAGTTGAGGCTTATTTCCACTGTGTGACACTTATCCACTTTCTTGTTAGAGATGGAAAATACATCGTGTGTTTTTGTGCTCATTCTGGTTGTTATTAGTGAGGTTCATAGTCTGTTTGAATACATCCTGAAAGCACAAAGTTTTGGCTGGCACATTTTTCTAGCAATTTGGGCAAGACATAAAAAGTGCTCCTGGTGGAAGCTGCTTGGTTTCTAAACCACTCAGACATCCCTTCATTGCAAATGATCTTTTTGACAGCCAAACAAAGAACAAGCTATATGTTTAGGTTCGCCAAAAACACTCCGATGTTCCATCTTGAGAGTTCTGCTTTTTTATCTGTGCACTTTCAGCTTGTTTGTGTCCAACCTAACAATATCAGTGCCAGGCTCCTTTCTCTGTGGATGTTTTGTGGATTAGAGGTAGCTGAACATGTGTTGATGGTGTACTGAAATTCATCTTCAAATGTTGTAAAAACGAATTACATTTACATGACTACACATAGTCCCTTAGCAACGGTCTGTTCTCTTTAACAGCAGTCTGTTAGCTAGAATAACAACCTCTGAAATGTCCAAATTGACCAATCCGAATGGAGTATTAAACTAAGCCATGTAATAACCAGTAATTTATCAGCTTCTGTTTTCCATTTCATACATTCTAAAGATTATTTACAAAGCAATTACATTTTTTACGGTAACCTTGAAATATGAACAGCTTTCTATAAAGAAAAACCCTCTCAAGTGTATTAATTAAGAAAAAAATAATGAATCTTTTTATAGTCCTTTACAGCTCCTGGAAGCAGTTTTTAACAAACCACCTTGTTAGGTTTCTCCCTATTTCCCGGCTTATTCTGGAAAGTAATTGGGGATAATGAGCTGTAATCCATTTAAATCCTAAGCACGCTTGTTCAAAAACATGTTCTTCACTTCCAGCACAGTCCCCTGACAGGTATTAAAGAGGCCTGTACCTTTCAGGTCTCTGTGACGGAGAGAACTCCATGCCAAAAAATACAGTGTGACTTGCCAAAAAACGCAAGGATTATAATCCTCGGAGGATACAGGGATTGGAAGTGACTATAGTGTCTTTAGATGTAAGTACGTACAGCTTCTACAACGTATTCAGCTTCTCAACATTTCAGCACTTTGCTACAGCTTCAAATCACTCATACAGAATGTATTGATACATTCGCCTGGCGTATTTCCCATCACCCCCTGCAGAGCGTTGCAAAGCTGCAAGTCTTTTCACTCAATGCAACAATCAGAAATGACCTTAATGTTGACAACAAGGACACCAGCAATGGATTACTTGTCAATTTGACTGCATAACAGAATCATGGAGTTGGAAGATGAATTACCCTGCAAACCAGCCAAGACAAGTGGTGTGTGTGTTCATTTAAACCCGATTTGTGTATTTAACGGCTTACGGCGGGGCGTACGTGACAGAGTGCCACCAGGCGCTTAATTCAGATGTATTACAGCTAACGCAGAGCACTTGTGACTGACAGGCAAAACATAACGCTTGGAAACAATTATTCATGAGCCCTTGCAGAATTCTGTATGAGGTGACCGCTCGATTTGATGAGAAATGCTGCGTTTTTAGCCGCAGAAATTAATTTCCCCCATCAGCATCCATGAGCATCTATTTGTGATTGTGTGCAGCGTTGGTACGTAGCGCTGATCCTTCCCTTTGATAAGTGTCCTCAGTGCTGCCATCATTGTCACCAACAATGCTGCCACGGTTGCTGATTTAATCATAGCCTGTCAATGTGTCTGCGCAACGCTTGAAGCTTTGTATTCCAGGTTGATCATCAAGTGTTGCAGGCACAAAAGGAAGGCTAGTCCCGATCGATACGTCAACAACGATGACAGGCTTGTCCCTGAGAAATGTCCGCAGTGTTTGACCACATTTATGCTTGTGAGACATTCTCCTTTACAAGTTATCTTGCCATGCCTGGATTTGTGTGATGGGCATGGCTAATCGGGTGACCAGCCAGCGGTGGCACAGGCAGCTTTTGAAATCTGATAATCTTCTCATGGTGCTCGCCCTGCTAGAGTCAGAAAGAGTTTGGAAGGTGTTTTTATAGTGTTATGGATGGACAGGCCAACTGGGCCAAGTAGCCCGGATCAGAAGCTCGATATGAAGTTACTTGTTGGAAAGACAATCCAATGACCACAAGCGTACAGCTGCAAATAGGGGCACAAGTAGAGGATCAAAACTGGCGAGAAGACACACGAAAAAACTTCAGAGATTTAAAAAAAGCACAAAATAACCACTTATAGAACAACTAGAGATGCAAAACGAAAAGATAAAGCCCAAAATGAACACAAGAAGACGACCAGAGGGTCAGAATTTGACGAGGAAGAGAAGACAGAAAACCAAGTAGAGGAGAAAAACAACAACGAAGAGATAAAATACACAATAAGAGCTTCAAAGAAACCAATAAGGGGTGCAAACTGTACACAAAGTAATAGATGAAAGGACCAGGAGAAGGTGCCAAACGACCACAAAGAGACTAACGAGTAAGCATAACTACAAATGACAGATGCCTATCTTCTCATAATCTGTCCATGACTGTGGGCTTTTTTTTTGTTACAAATAGCAGCTATTAATATTAGAGATGTCCCGATCCGATCACGTGATCGGGGATCGGAGCCGATCATGTGATTTTTTCAAAAGATCAGAATTGGGAGAAAAAAATCGGGGATCGGGATTATTTATTTTTTTTTTTAATACTTTTTTAAAAAAAAAATTGTATTCAATGTTACAAAACAAAAATGACCATGTTCAAGTCTTAAAGTCATCCTGAGGCCTTAGTTTTGGTTTCAAATTACACAACATCATGTATGTGTTGCTTCTTTGGGGCTTGTTTTCATAGACCTGGTTGCTTATTTCTCTCAAATCTGGCAACAGAGTGGGCAGGGCGCAGTGTCTAATTGTAGCAGTAAGCTAACGAGTACTGATAAGCTTTATTTAGTTTTGATCCAATGCTGCACAACTGAACTGATCCAATGCTGCTGTGAAAAAAAGAAGCTATATCCATGTTGGATAGAATATCCAATTTAAATAAAAAAATAATCTTAAGGGCAACTTGAATGCTTTTTTTCTTTTTTTTCTCTTAATGCATTGCATAAAGATCGGATCGGGAAAAATCAGTATCGGTAAATTGTCAAAATCAAATGATCGGAATCGGATCGGGAGCAAAAAAAGGTGATCGGGACATCCCTAATTAATATCTATCATTTTAAATTCGAAAATATTTCATTTAGTGTTATGTTAGTAGTAGATGTGTTTCTTAGCCGCTGATTCTTTTCCAGTACTGTGTGTTTATGTGTTTTTTGATATCAAAGTGTCTTTTAAAAACAAGCTCCAGTCTAGTCTTCTCCATACAAACGTTTCAGAACCAGTCCTTGATCACATGTATGCAAATGTGCCTCAACATGTGCACACACATCTGGATTGTGTCATGTTTGTGTGCGTTTTCGCTATTTTCTGCATGGTTTAGAATATGCTCCACTCACCTCTTGATTCTGTCCCGGTGCTCTTCCTGTCACTGGTTCACGGTGGTTGCGTGACGCCACGTGCCTCCACGCCTCCTTGTTATCTGATATCTTTCTTCCTCTTCAGGCCTGATCTTCTGGAACCTTCGTCAAGCAGAGGGAAAGAAATGCACAAACAAAAACAACATCATTAAACTCCGAAATTCTCTCCTATTCATTTGAGCATTCAGGCTTCACATCTACTTAGGGGAGGCAAATTGATTCAATTTGCCGTGTTTGCATCACACTTAATTCGGCGGATTTTTCGGTGAGCTGTAAAACATGCGTCGTCAAGGAGATGGTTTATTATTTTTGTTGCACTTTAACCACAAATGTGTCTTCCTATGAAATCTCATTTATTAATGTTACTGAGCAGATGAAAGCGGCAACAAATAAAGCCTCATGATGAAAAGCTGTAGATTAGGTTGTCAAAGGCACTGATTTATCTAATATGATTGCTTAAGCTTTACACTAGATTCATATCTAAGAACATTAACAAAAGTCATGGTAAAATGCTGTTAAATAAGTATGATAAGGATACAACATCCAAAACCATTCAGCAAAAGAGACAAAGCTGTCAACCTTAAAAACCTTGCATTAGATTACATTATTGCTGTTGGAGCTAGTTCACTAAGGGTTAGGGGTCACTGTATTCTTCCATATGTGGCCAGAACAGTTGCAATGTAGGATTTTAACACAATTTGAAACTTTAAAACTGTGAAATACAGCTGAAACATTTAGTCAATTTATAAGCTGGTCGAAAAAAATCCATCATCATACATTTCGGTTTTGATCAAACAGATTAATAGTTTTTTAAGTGCAGAATATTCCCATTGGCTTATGTGCTATTACATTGAAAATCATTGTGTTTTGGTTGGAAGAAAAAACAGTTTTAATAATCTTTGACATATTCATTATTCTCTAATATTTTATAGGCCGCAAATATTCAACGATTAATTGAGAAAGTTTAGACACAGTTATCAAACTTTAAGGTCTGTTCTACCAGGGCTGCCAACATTTGATTTCAGCTTGGAGTGAGATTTTTTTTTGGTGATCCGATAAAAGAAACGTTCATGTGTACAGTGTTACACATGTATTGAACATGTACAAACTAGGGTTTCCCCCATTAATGTACCGGGCGCTACAGTGGAATACACGCATACAGTGTACCCGCGACTCTTACAATGAAGGCTCGATAATAAGCTCACAGCATATAAAATGGCATATAGGTGTAAGCAGAGGTAAACTTAAGTGCTATTTTACAAGCGTGTGTG